TTATAGAGGGAGTGTACCTTTTTGGCCGAAGTTGGGCTTAGATGTCTTAGTGGGCTTATCTTCCAATATGTATCCGCTTTATCCATTAAACCGGGTCCAGTATAATATCCTATATCACTCACAATTTCTAACAAGTACCTAGTTCGTCGACCGTATTGTTGTCTAAATTTTCTTTTTCTATATTTTTCAATTCCCAAATCACAATCTCAATATAGCATATTGCCTTTTCGTAATCTTATTGGCAAAACCGATCGTTAATAAATTGGCGCTAGAGAGAGGGCTTGAATCACCGTATGTTTTTTTTTTTCGCTACTCACATGTTTCTCTCTTTTTTTTTCCATAATTTTGTCTAAAAGGAAGGGCGGCTCAGCCGAACCTCCAGATGACTCCTTTTTTTCTCGTTACTTTGTCCAAATAAACACCCACAAACACGCCATAGACAGTACCATTATTTTGTCCTTCTAATAATTCATATTAACACTATTCTACCTATAACTGTGTGGGGAAAATCTTGTTAATCATTCCTTGTTATCATATTATTTCGCTATCAATAAGAAAATGGACCTATTAGTTGACTCTCAACACTAACGTCATGAGGGTGGAAAATTTGGTCCTATAATAATAAAGGCTATAGAGTAGCCGAACGATCTAAGGGTGTCTCTGGGAAGGTGATCCTTTTGGAACCTCTTCACCCAGTGCTTTCTTTTGGTCGTAAGAGGTCCGACCAGATCAACCTGCTGATGTGGGTAATGACGATCTCATCTCTGGTTAAGATTACACTCCACGACTTGGAGATCAATCGACCAACCTGGGTCAGGACGAGAACAGGACCAGGGATCTCGATGCGTGTCCTCAATCTCACGAGATCAACCATCAATGTCAACCGATATACCAAAGCTCGTCCCCCTTGTCAAAGCGTCAAAAGTGCCTCACACAAAAAAACATATCGACACTCCACCCATCAAATAGTCTTTCAACCGATGTCAATAGAAAAACGGCCACCTGAAGGCATCTATTCTCTCATGAGGAGGTATGAATGACTAGGGGCCAATTGAGGGCATCTATCATCAAGACACTCCTGATAAGAATCCTTGTAGCTTCATTGCGAATCTTGTTTATTGCTTCGACAATCAATGCTATAGATTTAAAAAAAAAAAAAAATGAATATGTGCTTAAGACAAGATCTCGCTTTGTATAAATAATGTACTACAGTCCGTGTAATATATCCACAGCTGCACAACTGCTTATTAGTCATACTCGCAGACGGTGTGGTCGCCAACGGTGGCATAGATTGTGGATTTCAAATGACTAGATTGGATGCGTCATTTAAATTCTTTCAAATAAATTACTAAAATCTATCTGGGTGAATTTCAAATCTTCCAATTTCTATTATCATCGGAACATGCATGAGAATTTGAATTTGTAAATTTAAAATCTTGTAAATTTTAAATCCCTTAATGAATCCCTCGATCCAATAAATCTACTATTAGAAATGTCAAACGGTTGAGCAAATTACAATTCTTCAGCACATATATTTTAAATTGAAATGTCAAATTATTAAAAAGAACACAAGTTTTCAAATTCATTGATAAAATATGACGAGTAAACTCATCTAACCGTTAATCCACCTCATATATATTTGCAGTTTGGAAAATATTAGAATACAGTAGAATTGGAATAATGTCA